GCTCAATTGCGCTCGAATAATACACCGCTGTATTGCAGCAGATACCTTGTCAGAGATTAACGGTAAGCATAGAGGAAATTTGGCGCGAAGTGTGTTTTCTCCGCCTATCTAGTGGTTCAGCTTCCACTAGTAGATCCAAATCGCTCCTTGTAGAGGAGAAATGTTTGCCATTGTGCAGGAAAGCAAACATAACATATTTATGGGCAGAGGCGGTGAAAGGCCCGGGGTGGAAGTGTTACGCGCAAAGTCAGGGGATCGAATTCCGCGTCGATATCCGACCAGGACAACGAGCTTTGTGACCCCTCAAGATCGACTAACTGGGAGTATAATTGTCTGTGAGGATAAAAACATTGACCTGTACATTGGCTGGCAGCTGCAACTCGTTGTAAGAGCCACATACACATTCGAATTCCACAGTCATTCTGAAAGGATGTTTGATGTGTCTTGCATCTCACGTATGGGATTAATCAACGCTAGAGGACTAGTCTTTTTATCTTTTATTGAAGATACATAAGCTGTTCGGGACTATTCACGTAGTATGATGCCTTTATGATCCCGCGAATGAGCGATTGCGACCAGCGCGTGGGATGATATCCGTCTTGGGAGCGGCAATCAGATACAGGACACTTGCGTCATGTACAGGCTGACTTTAGTTGCGGCATGGGTCCTCCTTTTGCCATCTTTCACCGCCTATTCAATTCCGCCCAGAGGGATTCCAAGTGTTTCAGAGGTGAGTAATTGTACTCGTACACTTTCTACTATGTGAATTATCAGAGTGATGATTTGTTGGATGTTTGTGAGTTTGTATATCGGCAAAATTTGTAAAATACTTTTTGTAACGATATATTTGTGTCGAAGAGATCGCTAGGAGGAACCGGATGCTAGCTGAGCCTGAGATCTCAGGAATCGGCATGATCGGTATGTCTTCGTCAGCCTAAAGTGATGACTCCCGGTCACGAGTACAGCCCTCACACTGTGAATAGGGCATCCATTAACAAATTCTACTTCTAGTCATTTTAGAAATTGTCGATTCGTGGCTGAGCATAGAGGTGTTAAAAGTACGAGCAGAAGGTGCTGAGCCTCCTGAAGAGGGAGACCTGAATTTACCAGGGGAAGCGAATTCGTTAGAAGTCGACGTCCTTCCAACTCGGGTGATTGAGTAAAATGAGTACATTGGTCATTTTTGTTGTGACTTCAATAAAACATCTGTACCGCTCCATCTTCACGCCAACTTCATAGCTTTCACTCTCGTTAAATACTATCGTCCTCCAATCGTGTTGTTGGGCTATTTTCGGCGCGAGAAGAAAGTCCTTACGGTTAAAACATTTTAGGTTAAAAAGCAAAAGATAATTACGCAGCGTTTTTTAGTTTCAAAGGTCTCAATAATTTTTTTTTTTGCGTTCGATTGCTTCTCGGGATGGTGGAAGCATTCGGATCGTTCACGCCACACGCCATGACATGCACGTGTCTGATGTTGCTTATGCCAGTTTTTCAAGCTGATCCATCTATCTATCCGACATCCAAGCTGTCCAGGTTTCGAAAAGAAGCGGACTGCAGAGGGGGAATAGGCTTGACCGGTTCAGTATGTGTCCTTCCTGATAGCGATGGGTATAACTGGCCCCTTTCTCTGTCCATCACCCCATCTGGGACCAGAAATGACGATCAGAGCGGAGTACACGTGAATACAGGCACAAAGAGAAAACTTTAGCCTTTGTAGATAATAACGAGCACCCTTTCAACAGGGCAGAGTTGGGTACTCACTAGTGGTTCTTGAATTTTAAAAGCAGGCGGTCGGTAAGAAGAGAGAAGGGGTGTGGGTGGCGAGAATCGAACTAAAAATTATTTCCGAAGCAGATCTCTTTTTCCAGGTTGTAAGTCATACAAGTAACCGATGGTCTTACTTCCATCGCTCCATCACATTTCACATTTTTTCCCGGTTGCCTGAAATGTGGTACACCCGTTGTAACCTTTTCTTTTCCCTTATACTGACAGCTTCCAACCCACTTTCCTCTTCTTCTTTGTCCTATTCAAAGCCAGGCAGGTTCTGCTGTTCTTGTTATTGGTCCCATTGCCCCTGTCCATAAAATTGAATTTTATTGCCTGGGAGGTGGGTGCCTCGAACAATCAGTTTCTTGAACAAAAAAAAAATGTAGGCTAGGGCTTCTAAAACTGGTCGCGGCGTATAGAAAGCGAGAATGAAATCAGCTGACAATGATCGAACAGATGCTATCTCTTTGTAGCCCAGTCCGTAAAGAAGTTCAGTAGTGGGCTATACAAAAGACCACTTGGGAAAGTTTGTTATCTCGAGGTCTTTCCGACCTATGCAGAGAGTTTGACAGATTTTGTGTGAATGTAGAGAAGCCATCTTCCTTGAGACTTTTGCTTCGCGTTCGTGTTCGAAACGATTCATTGAAAAGGCATGTAGAAGAGGCTATCTACCCACCTAGACTTCCATGGAGTTCTCTATGCTTATTATTATGCAAAAATTTCGTTCCTCAACACCTTATACAATGAATGGAGCGTGCATGTTCTCTCGGAGTTCTTACTTTGTCATGAGAATTTGGCCACAAATGATTGGAGGCCGTAGAGTGAGTGGATTCAGCGCTGTATTCGCCTCCTCCTACGCTCCTAAATAGGTACGGTTCCTTCAAGGCTTCTTAGTCATCATTCTGTTCCCGCTCGCACTTTCGGCCTTTTACGCAGTCCAACTAATTAGTGATCATGTCGTCTCCGAGGTGTATATGTATAATATGGTGTATAGGTATGGATTCTCAGTCAAAAAGGAAGGGATGGGTCAATGTCAGGATGTGGCTGCCTGCCATTTTATGATTAGAACTGTAAAGTTCTGCATTGGGACCAACTTTCCCGGAATTATTTGGTTGTAACTAAATTGTCTGAACGGGTGACGCAAAGACTTTCTGTTACAGTGGTCAAACGCGATACGTTACCACTTTGTTCTGTCGTTAGTCGGTGTTATCCAGTAAGCCCTCATAGCCCGAGAAACACGAGGCATACCATTTCTTTCGTTCAAGGATCCCATGAGAACTCTCGATTAACGGGCTGGCGGCGGTCCTGGTGTTCGTTCGACGTCCCAAGGGATCGAGTCAATAACCGTCCTGATCCAACGGTCACCACAAAATTGCATAAAGTTTCGGGGTGTCTGATCTTCAACTTTCTTGGTCTTGACGGCTTCCCTGATCTTTGATCGTTGGAATAGCTCTAAACTCCGGATCCCCCTGCACTTGCGTGTTAATTTGGTGATGACAAAAAATGTATTGAACAGGTATCTGAAGGAACTCTCCAAATGTGTGTACCACTGCGTACAGCCGGTTACGTAAACTCCCTGTGTGCAATGTGTGCGTCCCAGTGAGAATTGTGCAATTCCACAGCCTCTACAACGCAATTTGAACTAGTCCTGCACATCGGCTGAGCCGGTTTTGAGGCCCTTATCACGCCCTATCCGAGCCGTCTTCGACCTAAAAGGATTCCGTGTGCTTCCTTCAAGGTTCCACCCGGTCATCTCGGAGAAAGTTCTCAGAAACCATTTTGAACGTTAACTCTGCTTTTAAAATTCGGTTTTACTTGAGTCGATCTTTCTACAAGCGGTGCCAAATTCGGACAGCATTCGTTCTTCTTGCTCGATGTTCAGTTCTGTCAGCATGATTTCGTCTGCAAAACGGATGCGGAGAGGCTGTCGATCTTCATTTTCATAGCTTTCCGTTAATGAGTTATGATGTTTTTACGAGAAACGACTTCAAAAAGTCAGGTTGGAAGGTCAAAAGACGATACAGCCTAGAGGGAGAGAGAGAGTAAAAACAACGTATTTCTTCTCGCCTTAATGCTTATGATTAAGAGCTGCTCATTTTCAGATTGACACCATGATCAGGCAGTGCTTCCAAACCCTTTGCAAGGAATGGATGTCTGAATGTCATTGGTATTGTGATTCGGTCAGAGATAAGGTAGTCTCACAAATCTTCATCAGCTTCTGATTAAGGCATTTTCAATATTATTTTTGTTTATTACACCTATTTACATTTTAGAAAAGGTGCAAGGACTGCTTGAGTTGGCGTGGTCAACAATGCATGGATTGTTTTGAACTATAAACTTCAATAATAGTCATATCTGTTATTTATTCATTGCGAATTAATAAATATTTTCATTTTGCTTCGTGTCTGCGACCATTCTGTACAGGCACAATAGGATGGTGCCAGAAACGATTGCAAAACAAGTGTTTTCGGTGGGCCAGCTATCTGCTGCCTGGGGCTGCAGCCAATAGTAGGTTGCTCATCGGGATTGCGCCACCCATTCGTATTTCGACAGGAAATCATGACTGTATCATGAAGATTCTTCAGTCTGCATGTAGAATTTCATAGTCATCTGCTGTTTTTCTTCGAAGTAAAGCCTGAAACTACTTAGCGACTTCAAAAAAGGAATCAGATGAGCTGCCCAACCATTTTCGGCGGAAGACCACTTTAATCACGTCTCACAGCCGACTTTATGAGATAGTCGTGTGAATGTTTAAAAACGAGTAGCTCATATAAAGTTGCAGCGTGAATTGAAAGACTTTTAGAATTTTTTCGTGATATGGGAAGGGAAGAAGGCAGCAGTGTATAGGTGCGCCCGTGTCATCCAACATGTTTAGAAGGCTCATAGGTTAGCCCTTCCTTGGAAAACGCAAAAAGTTCGACATACCGGTTAGCGTGTGTGCACTGCAAACGGCTCCCCATCTTCAGTGCAAGTTTCCTTTTTCCGCGGAATGGAAAAATTAAGAGTGCACGTCAAGCTACTTCTGCGCGGAGCAGCAAGGTCTTGTCAAGAAAGAATAACGGAGAAAATATCAGGAGGAAACTCCGTTTTCCAACACCTTCTATGACAGTTTTTGTGGTCCCCCGATCCTTGTCTTGGAAGCTTCCAGGACAGAGCAAACTTGCATGAGCTCACTGGCTTCCTCACAAGGTGATTACAGCAGTGACTGGTGGTTTATTGACCTCCAGCTCATGAGAGGTGAAAAGGAGGAAGGAGAAATTGTGGTAAAACTTCAGTAAATTTGCTCGTAGTTTGCATGCGGCTCTCGATTGGTTGAAAGTTCAAAACACGGAGTTCGTAATAGTGCAGAGAAGACGTTGTGTCGCATGTTAAAAAATTCCGGTCACTTTATCGGCTAAACTCAAGAGGTGCAAAAGCGGATTATGGACCTTCTCAACGTCGCCTCACTCGGCCCAGTCCAGCTAAGGACTACTCCTTTCAAGGTCCTCCCTTATTGAATCCAGTTTTTCCAGCCCAGCTATCGAATCTACCTTCGAGGAAATTTTGTAGTTCATTAATCTTTCAGGGCTTTATTGGATTTCCATTATACATTGCCCTCATCCATTTGCTTTCTTCCAATACTTTTAGGAGTTATTGGTTGTCCTGCTTTGACGAATCAGCGATAGTCATGGAGGTATGTGGTTTTTAAGTCATTCTTCTGGCTCAAGAACAGAACGGAAGCAATTTTTAAAAGTCAGAAGAGTTGATGACAGCGTATTGAAAAAGGAAGGCTGGGAGGAAGCTCTTTGAATGTTGGGACACTTCTGCCAGATATGACAGATTAGAGTTGCAAAGCTCAGAGGTGAGCAGTACTTCTCTGGAGCGGACCAAGCCTTCGGACTGATTTTTCGAACTCAACATTCGCCTTTGTAATGTTCCCATAAAGGATAAAGGGATAAAGTTTTTGGCGTTAATCAATCCCGTCTGAAGGATGCGCCCCCGCACTCGACTTCTATTCAAAATCGTAGTGGCGAAATGAGTGCGTATGTGGCCTATACAATGGCTTGCGGTGGCGAGCCGATGTACAACTCGTGGCTTTTATCCTCTCAGACGAGTCTGGCACCAATCAAGTGACCCCGGAGGGATGGAAATCTTGGTTGGTCTAGACGGATATAGTTGCGAGAGTTGAACCCTGACTGTGCGTGTGAGATACATAGTGCGCCACTTGCCCCGTAATGTTCCCATAGATAGATTAATTGGAGTCTTTCTCGAGAAACTCTGAACAGAATTGCTTCCATGTTTGCTACGACTTTCCCTCCAAGAGAATCTATGTGCTGAGGAGCCTGAGTAGCTATCAATATGTCGAAATCTTTCCATGAGGTTACTCAGATGAAGTTCCAATTCTGTGGTAGACATTGTTTCAACCTTGTGGCTTTGGTACTATGGTGGAAGAGCAAAGAAAATTACAAGTATGAGGAGCTGAATTCTATAAATTAGAGAATGGCATTCAGTATCTCACAAGCATCTCAATTTTTGAGATAGATTTATGACCGAGACCATTGGGATCGGAGAGAACAGTTTTCGCATTAGCGAAATAGGAAGAGTAGCTCAGAGGCATATTTCCAAGCAATCAATCAGCACCGATTTACCCCCTCTCCGGTTCTAAGGCCTTTCCGCTTCTTTATAAACCAGCTGGTTTGAGTTAGGCTGAAAATTGGAATTTATAAACTGCAGGAGCTGAAGCAACGTCTGAGCAGGACGTCCATCTCTTCAGACATGGACATCGACCGAATTGTGAAGGAGAGCAAAACTACGACTATTACCGAAGCTCGCGAGACAATTTTCTTTCGACCCCGAGATGTGAGTGGAGAGAATAGCTAGCTGAGCCCAAATATAAGTTTCTTTCATTGCAGAGCTCCAGAAAGCCACCGAGCCCTTCTGCTGTAGAAAGTTCGTCAGTTAAGCGACTTTCAATAATGGACTCGGAAACTGACGAAAGAAGGTAAAACAATGTTTGTTTCATAGAATAAAAAGCCTGAACGTCAAGGCTTGTAATCGATGGAAGGGGTTGAGGACCAAGCCACCGAAGTCGATTCTGACGGATAGTTTTCACTTAGGCTCGTTTGGACCTCGAACATGTTTGATGCAACATCTGCCAACCGCTCTGCACCCGCACGCTCGTATCTCATATAATGAATCCAATATTCGTTCAACAAAGACTATCACAATGGCGTAACACCTTCAAAACAACACTTCGATTTGAGCTCACCCCATATACATAGGCCAACATTTTACGCTTCTGGGCAAATTTGTGAATCACTAATCACCAAAGATTCCAATCTACCACTCGTGCTTTCAGACCAAAAAAACGCACGCCACAAACCACTTCTACTTCTAAGCCAAAGTAGGTTTCATATTATTTGAGCTCTCATAGTATTAATTTTGGATTTTTGTCCAGTCTCGGGCTTAACCCTATTCGATATTTTAAAATGTTTCAGAGAAGCAGAGCCGCGAACTTCTCTGGCAATCCCAATAGAATCTGTTGACTCGGCACCAAAGATAACGGTGAGGCGGTGACAACAATTGCTCGATTTTTTTTGACTTTCAATATCCTTAGTTTTATTTGGGCAGGTGGCTGAAAGCGATGCCGTTGACGATCTGTTGTCAGGCTACGAAAATCTCGAAAAAGAATTAGAGGATATCAATGAAAAGAAGAACGAGCTTAGGAAAAAGTTTTTCGAAGACAAGGTAATTGAGCCTTTCCAGATACATTCACTGCATACCAAGGACGAGCTGCCAGTATTCAGTTGCCGAAGCAGACTTGAAAAAACGGTACAGGGCAGTTTTTTATACACTCGCAGCCGAGTAGTGGCAGCTTGATTCCTGACCATTTGGTCGGTTTGTTTTATCAACAATTACTCATGAGAACAGAGTGTTTCTATGAGCAGGACTGGCTGCTTTCTTAGTCCGCGATTCGGCCCGCGAGCGAGCGAACGAGCGTCTGGGAGCGGCGTTTGACCTTTGACCAAACATCTTATTGGGATCTTCATCACCCCTAATACTCTATACTACGACAGAGCTTTGCCCAAGTCAGAGTAAGTCTTAAGGTGGCTAGGAGAGACTTTGGTACGGACTTGCCCCCCTGCCCCTAAAAGGTGTCAGCTATTGGATATCTCTCCAAACTTTCGGTAAAAAAAAGAGGGAACAAGAAACTACTTATTGCCGACTTTATAACCATGTGGATATCAATAGTATATATTCCGGAAATAAGGTATTACATGCTGCTAGGATAGTCACCAAAAGAAGCTTCTAACCCTCCATTTACTTTCTGTGTTCGAACTCGTCCTCATTCTTCCTGCGCGGAGACGTAGATGTATGTGCCAGATGCCTTTACTGTTTTATACATATTTGCATTAAATATATTGTGCTATTAGTCTGAGCTCGCAGCTGGGGTCTCCTCCAAAAAATATGACTTTTCGACTGAATACACTATCCGACACTCTTCACCTGAGTGCTCAGTCCGTCATGAGCTGAGTCCTGCTCAAGTCATGTGTGTTTGGATGAATTAGCCTAACCTGAATCATTTTTACTCAACTGCGTAGCTTTACACAAACTACGCTCAATCCCACAACGCTCTACCATAGTCCCGCCGCTTACGGTCAATGTCTCCATCCTGTTACCTGCACCCATTTCGAATTTAAACACTCCACATCCAAGAAAAAACTTTCGCTTGCANTCCCCCCCCCCCCCCCCCCCCCCCCCCCCCCGTGGAATGAATCTAGGCCTGCCAACTACGTTACGTTGGTACGGAGCGTCTGGAGCCTACATACTTCCGAATTCAATCTCGTACGTCAAAGGGGGGAATTTTCGCGCATGCTTCGACTCTTATTAGGTTCTTGCAACCCACTAAGAGTGTTCTATTCCGTCGCCTGTACTCCTGCCAAGTTTGAATGCTCCAGGTCTTGAAAAACTCTGAGGAAAAAAGCCAAGAGTTTCCAATCGGACTTCGACACCGACACCGATACCCCACCCCCTATGTTAACACGTTGTATATAATAAAGTATGCTACCGTCCATCTTGCTCCCTGTGAGCAGCGAAGAAATGTATCCTTGAAGCATACTAAAAACTCTGATTATTCCTTGCCTACGGTGAGTGCTGCTTTTTCAGAAAGAAACTCCAATTCTTAGCTCAACTCTCACAGCAGTGCCTGTATCCTCGTCTTCCTCAGCAGCACCAACGTCGTCGACTCGGATTCAGGAGTGGAAAACTTCAAGGTAGTGTAATCGCATTTCTATTGAAGGTTTCCTTTTATTGTACATGCCTGTGAGTCTCTTTCCCAGTTACTTGTTCTTTTTTCACTTCTATTTTTGTTTTCCAGCTCGAAACCAATTGAATCATTCAGCAAGGAGAGAAAGAAGTGTTCATTCGCAGATAGCCCAACTGAGAAAATAGAAGAGGTAAGTTCAGCGATTAGTCCCGTGCAGCAGAGTTTAGATGTCTAGCAGGTGAAAAATGCCCCAGTGATCCGTCGCAGGGTCTGCTGTTCTCATTCGCCATGTGTACTTCCTTCTATTTGCGGCGTCTCCTGCTGTCACTTCAGCCTCGGAGAGGTCCATCTTACCTCCCTATTCGAGTTCGAGTGTCTATTTCGATGAGAAAGCTTAGATTTCGAGATCAACTTGTGAGCTAGTGAATTTTGATTGAATTCGGGATTAGCACCGACAAGCGACCCGGATCGATATGAGCAGTGATAGAGGTTCGAAAAGGAACTCCTTCACTCTAGTAAAATTCTTTTTCCACCTGATGGCAGTCTGAGGAATGAGCCATCAAGCCATTCAGTCCGTCAACTCTATATTCTGACCCTATATTGAGAATCCCTCATCTTAACACTTTTCCTAAATCTTTAGCGAATCTAAACTGTCCTGGTCGAGTTTGATTCGTGAGTAATTTGAGTAGATACGGCTTTTCCTTCTACGACATAACCTATGTACGGCTTTTAACCTCTCAGCAATTGTTTCGTGTCATTCCTAGTCGAAAAAATTCGTCAAAATTCCTCTACAGTATTAGTTACTAAGCGAATTCAGCAAGAGCGAGCAAGTCAACGTTATTCAAGATACATAGACGATTTTAGGCCAGCACTGCCTTGGTACGTCTCTCGTCGGAATCAAGCAAACGAAGCACGTGTCCGTACAATCTGATCAAGTAAACGCATAATGATGCAGGGTCTTTGCCCTGTCGATTTAAATTTACCTTAAGACTTTCCAATGTGAAATCTTTCAATGGCTTTGGTGATTAGGGAGTTTTATAGACAATTTTGTTGACTGCTTTTACGCACGCCTACTAAATACCGGGGGACGGAGCTTACGTGCGTCCGAGGATGCGCGCGGCAAATTGCGCGGCGAAGTGCGTATTGATCTAAACGACACTGGCGTCTATCATTGGGGCCCAAATTTGAAGGAGAGTAGATTAATGGTATAAGCTGGCCCTGCTAGACTACTGTACTTCAAATTTGGGCCCCAATGATAGATGCCAAACTCGATCGGACCATCACGCACTTCGCCGCGCAATTTGCTGCGCGCATCCTCGGACGCACGTATGTACCCATTCCCATAAATACCACGGGGATATTGGGATCCCGATAGCGACGGGAAATGAGGCACAGGCATACATGTACAATGCTTCAGCTTCAGGCCCAATCTCTACATGGGGTAAAAATATTTTTATCATAACTAGGACCTCCCCAGTTCACATTAAGGTAACAGTGGCAATATTATAGCTTGTAGAAAAAGGTGTTATGGTAGAATCACAATCAGCGAGCTCGTACTTCTCTAACGATCAAAGTTCAGAAGTTCGCTTTCTCACCTGAATGGTGGTATACCATTCAGGTGAGAAAGCCACCTGTACTTCTTCTATTCTTATATTCTGCCACTTTCATTGTACAAGATAAAAAATAATGAATATTTTTGTGCTTTTTTCTCCATCATCAGCGAGTTTATTTGAGAATTTCTACAGTTTGAGAATGCCGTGCCAGGGTTTTGGAGATTAGACCATAAGTTTGATGCGTCTCTCTGTGTCTATCTCATTGTCTGTCTGATTGCGTGTCTTTCTGTCTGTGGTCGTAAACACAATCCTCCAAACTACATCTGTGAACCAATCAAAGGAGAGTTTTTCGAGTTTCCTGATGGATATCAACGTTATGCTAAATGGTCAATCTCGCAGTAGCAGTATGTCTAGCATTTTTCTTCTCCAGCGGAAGACTTGTTGATATCGGTCTTCTGTTAACGATTCCTTCTGACACACATACTTTCGCCCGACCACCATAACGAAGCGCTTCTAACCGTTATCGACGATATTAACCTTACGGAGTGTTCATGTATGTGGCAATTTGCCCCGATTGGAGTACAACCAATCATTGTAATAGGTGTTCGTGGGTTTGCTTTTCATCAGAGATTTTGTTCATTCTCAAGGAATAACAATACAAAAAAACACAACAACATAACAACAAGCACTTGTCCTCATGAAAAGACTAGAAAAGCTCTGCTAAGCTTCTTTTCTTTTTAAATACAGTTGAGCGATCACGAGCACAGAGGCAAGAGGTACCGTAGGCAAGCAAGTAATTCTATTGCAGACAATAATACAATAAAAATAAATGACGAGTGAACTCGAACATAAAAATCTGATAGAAATCTCTTCTGAAATACCCGGATCTTATCACAGAAAAGACGGACTAGATGACATTGAGGTGAGTGAGCCTCGAAATACTGGCTAATCGAGAGCCGGGACATCCACAATGCGCCACCTTTCTACTGCCTAAAAACGACCTTTAAAAGTGAACTTGCTAATGATAAGTAACCGTAAGCAGTCAAAAGCTGGTATATTGTGTGATCCTTTGGAAAAATGAGGGCTAAAGTTCTTGGCATCAATCAATCTCGTTTTGGAATGCACCCCGCACTCGACTTCCATTCAGAATCGTAGCGATGTATTGAATGCGTAAGTGGTCTGTACAATGACTTTCAGTGACCAGCCGATGTACAAGTCAGTGTTTCTGTCCTCTCAGGCGAGTCTGGTACCAATCAATTCAGAGGCAGGAAGGCTTGATTGGCCCAGACGGTTATTGATCAAATATTCGATCTAAGGACCATGCATTAGTTGTGGTCTCCCCCCCCCCCTTCTACCATACGACCTCCTCTCGTTTGATTTGTGAATTGCATTGAATTTGAAAAGTCGTAAGGTTACGCCCCAACTCCGCCGTTGCCGGTCCCAAGCCCGGATGAGAAAGGAGGAGGGTTGGTGCGAAGGGCCAGCGACCCTTCCACCGTAAAAAACTTCAGTGCTAAAGAAACGACGAAACATATAT